ATGCATGTAGGAGATCCTGATCCTTCTTCATTAGATAAGCTTTTGCATAATCTGGTGGGGTCAAGGAAAACTAATGAAAATATGGAAGGAAACCGCGTGATGAATGGTACCAAGTCTCCCATACAGGAAGGTAGGTTTCAAATGGCAAACGGAAGCATTGGCGTGCAGGGAATGCAGTCTCGATGTTTTTCTAATCGGGAGGTGACTGGTTGTGAGTAATGACGAATATTCACGCAGATATCGATCATTGTTCGACTTCATTTTTATGCTAGATAGGAATGTAGTAACGTATCACAATTTGTCCATAATCAGTTGGATTCTGATGTGAAAACAATTGATGGCAATTTATTTGACTTCGTCGTTCTGTAGAGGATCGAGTTTTGGTAGAGTGTTCTTCGTCATATTTCAAAGTTGACAACGTAACGATGTGTTGAGTGGGCCTGTCTAGATAGAATATAAAAGCGTTAGATCATGAGGAGCTGTTTGAGTTGTAAACTAGATTCTCAAACGGAACAAAAATCCGAGTTTTTGTGATAGATCGGACATGATTTTTCCATGAGAAACTATTGCTGATGGAAATACCGAGCATCGATATAGTGGTCTTGGTGGTATTGATGGTACCAGACACCATTATATCAAAATAATAATGAAGATGATGGAAAGCCCTAATTTCGAGTGACAATGGAAAATGAAAAAACCATTATATCAGGCAAACTGGGTACAGCCTTTCTAGAGAAAATACTGGCTTCAATTCTGGTGGCGTTGAATTGAACTAGGTTATTACTGAAACAGTAGAGGAAAGGATTCATCCTCAATGATACGGTATATAATTCATAAAAAGATCCCCAATAAAAAAAACAGCTCAATATGATCTGTTGTCAAACTGGCTTAGGTTGAGGATATGGTTACGGTACCAGATTCAATTTTCAAATTTCTCGGAAACAATGAGAATCAACTCCGATACCTATCAAGAAAGAATTTTATCCTGACTATCTGTTCCTCTCAAGATTCGATTTCTAGTATCGAAGCCATTCTAAATATTGTCAAGATGTATATGTATATACATATACAGTATGATGCAAATGTATGGAATAAATTCATTATTTCAGAAATGGGCGACATTTGAAGAAATTCCAAAAACACGTGAGTTTTAATTTTTGAAACCTCATCTCATGACATACATATGAGAGATGTTACGTCACCGATGTTGGAGTAATGACGTAATGGACGGTTTTTTTAAATACAAACAGGGGTCATGTGACACCTCGTTTGAAAGGTCTACTGATCGTCTATCCAATAGTCAAAATTTTGCAAAAGAAGATTGAAATTGAAATGGATTATCATTTGGTTAACTGAATCTTGCAGAGATCTTCTACTGAGAATTGAACATCGAAGGGTCGTCTAGTTGAAAAAATACATCGATAAAAAAGTTCTGAACTCTACTTTTTGGATTTTTTTCGGAAGTCGTCTTGTTTTGAAATGAATTTATTCCTTCCTTTTGCATCATACTGTATATATCGATGTTTCGTCACCTTATACTCTAGCATCCGAACTGTTGATACAATGGTTGATATTGGTTTATTGACCTAACCTGACCAGAAAATTAAAAAGAATTCCAACAGCTACCTCCTCTTCCTATCCTCCCTAGGTACGCACGTTGTTCCACGAACATTTTAGGAATTTTCTTTGGTGCCCTCCAAGTGATGAAAAAATATATATTAGTGTATCATTGCAGTTAATACAGAATGTCTGATTACCCACCTACAACTTCGACAACGTCGCAGTCGCTCATTCTAAATTGCGTTTCAGCTCAATGAGGAGGAGCCAAAACTATTTTTTTTATTTTTCTGAAGTGAGATCTGAGACAATATACAAAATGAAGTTTACCCATGTTATCATTTTTCATAAACTTCACGGAGAAATAAAAATCTCAATACAGGAAGCTTTCCATTTCCTGAATGCGAAATGAAAACGTAGCGGAATAAACTACGCCCTCATTCAAATTCCCGGGAGCACACCTAAAATATTTCCTCCAGATTTCTATCAATGTACCTAATATCTTCTCGTAAACATGAATATCGAATGCAAAGATAAAGCCAACCAAACAAGATCAAATTTTGCGTACGAAACAAAACCGTTATTATCAACAGATAAAACGTCAAAGTGTATGTATATATATGAGGAAGCCTCCCTGAGGCGTCTTCAGACGTTCTACTTTCACTCTGTGGCGTCCTATTTATTTTGCATGCAAAACGGCTTTTAGCAAGATGGATTTAGGAGTTTCATATTTCGTTTTGGGATCTCTCGCACGAAAACGATCCGATTTTCCTCGTGATAACCTGTCCGAAAAACTATTTGCAGAAGTTTCCACGGAGGATTGACCAATAGAAATCATGTGATAGATGAGCCAATCACGTTTCACGTGAATTCAACAGTTGACTAACGATAAATTGTCTCAAACAGGGAACAATTCAAAGTCATTACCGCAATAGTTCAAAAGTGAACGAAAATTGTAGATAACGAGAATAACAACTACTTTGATGAAGAAGAAAATAAAAATTTTCGAAAGCTTGGCATAGCAATAAAGTAGTTGGCTTGTAGCCCGATTGACTGAACTCTCCGATATTTCCAATTATATCATATATGTGTATAGGTAGTAATGATAGTAATATGTTGAAAACAATTGCGGCAGGTAGATTTTTTCAAGAGTATATTTCGAATTATCGAAATGGAGAAGTACAAAATGACTGATTCAACTTAGATCTTTCAGGAATGCAGCGAAATAGTTTCTGTTAGTGTCGATCATGATGCAGCATTCATTTGTTCAAATGCGTTCACCCTCACCCAATGCAGCAACTTGGATTGGAAGGAAGGAATATTTTTGTATTGGAGTTTCTTCATACAAGTCTCAAAATCTTTGAAATCGGTAACTTTCAGCTACTAAGATATAGTATTCACTGCTTTCAAGTTCTTGATGAAAAATAAAGGTGAAAAAAAATAATTTCAATTCATGTTCTTCTCACTATGACTGTGAATGTTTAATGTTAATGAACTGGGATAATGAGGGTAATAATATTGGCTTGATGAAACAGAGTTCTATCTGAGTGTTCATAAGACCATTATAAACCAAATTATATAGTCAGGATGTTGGAGAGAAGCATTCTGTAGATAGAACTGTGCATTATGGCTAACTCATTTAAATTCCAACAGATTGCGATAGTTGACCACTCAAAATGAAGAATTCATCAGATAGAACCATAATATACCAAAATGTCAATTTTGGCAAAGAGGCAGATAAAACCCTACAGCTTTGGCTTAAGAACAGAAAGATCTTGTGTTAATAGAAATAGGGAATAATCCTTTACATACTGCTTAATGAAGGTGAAGCTCCTGCTGTTTGAAAATAGATCTTGAACAGGAGTTGTGGGTTCATAAAGGAGATGAATTTGTTGAGGAATGGAGCAATGGAACCATCATGCGTGATATAGGAATATAGAATAGAGTACTCTTGCAGTCTCTCCAAACTGAACTGCATTGAATCATCCAGAGATCATTTGCACGTTCCTACATTTCTAGTTTGACCCGCACAATATTGGTCAACTTCGACTTGGACTTCGCCAAAGTGAATTCGAAATCATTAATGTCAGGGCAGCCATTAGCAGTGCCAAGCAGAGATTCTTTATCGGCACGACATTTCTTTGTCAACACCAGATGTATATGTGTGTGTGTATAGCGTTCTTGATGAAATACCGCATAATGGCCCATTGTGAATTGTGATAGCCTCTGTCAACCTTCATTATAAAAGTACGCGATTTGAGCACGCACCTAGACCATTTATCGTCTGACTGTTGGAACTTTAAGTTCTTTTGCTGACCCAATTCGCGAATTATAAAAAGGGAAACAACTATGTCAATGTCGTTGCGAAAGAGGAACGAATAGATTCAGACGGTGTGAGCGGAATTAAATTTGAAATATTTATACTTGGAGACGCTTTTCCGGTGTACTGCGAACGTCCAGAGGTCGTAAAACTAAAATCATTCCATATCTTAAAATATCCGCAAATAGCCAGAATATTACATTCTACATGCATATCAATGATCTGTTGGAAGTAATCAGCTGCCACAGCCAAGTGAGGAAAACTCAAGAAAAGATAACTGAAAATTGTCGATATATTGACGTCTCCATATTATAGATAGTAAGGATATTCAGAAATAAAACCCCAAAAGGTTTACTCAACAATGAACTACAACAGAACATTAAATACTATTGAAAATTCATCATTCATTGAACACTCCATATTCGATAGAAATTCAATACATGGGGAATCTAGCGGTAGCGTTGGAGATATCGAAGGCAATGATTTGACCGTGTTTGGCACCAAGGACTCCTCCAAAAACTACCATCATACAGCTTACCACCTCAGCTATGCCATCTTTCATCAAGTTTTCTTTCCATGTGTTGGTGGACGGACTATGGTCTGATACCATTTCCATCAATTCCGGCGTTCCACAGGGATCAATTTTGGTACCGACATTGTTCCTACTTCATATCAATGATCTGTTGGGAGTAAACAATTGCCCAATTCACAGCTTTGTAAACGATAGTACTCTCCATACTGCGTTCACTTCTAGAATTTCCATTTATTTCCGGGAAACTAAGAACGCAGACAGGTCATTACTGTCAATAAGAATTACAGCCTGAGAAACCAACATCTTAGATGCATTCAACGCCACCAAAAATCTCGAACCTGTATTTTCCCTAGAAAGGCGAAACTCAGTACAGAACAGCAACGCTTCGGAATTCCAACACCAACCTCCTCTTCCTATCCTCTCTAGGTACGCACTATGTTCCACTAACATTATAGGAATTTCCTCTCGTGCGCACCAAGAGATGAAAAAAATTAAAAATCCATGATTGCTGTAAGTTTTGCATCAAAAATCACGTTCGGCTATCCAAACAAACAGATTATTTCATTATCTGACTTCTTTTATTTGTTTCAGAGGACTAGTACGTCGTTATGGGGCGAATGGATGGGTGTAATGCACGGGGATGAAATAGAATACGTGTTCGGACACCCGCTCAACATGTCCCTGCAGTTCAATTCTCGAGAGCGAGAACTCAGTCTCAAGATTATGCAAGCGTTCGCCAGGTTTTCTGCTACCGGGTGAGTACCGAAAGGATATTACAAAAAGACTTCACAACAAAAAACGGGTAGATAGATGGTGGTAGAAAGAAGCTCAGCGACTATTCCTCTTCCTCACAGTATGCAGAAGATATCTTCTGAATGACTCTCAGTATATTGTTCTTGTCGTCCCGGAGCGTTACTTGTTATTTTGAGAATGGCAGCTTCATTAATGGAAATTGAAAATTTGGAAATTCAAAAAAATCATTAACGGCCACGAGAGAACGTATATTAGAATGCGTTCAGATTTTTATCGGACATTAAAGTCCATTGCACTGCTAGTAAGTGCTATAGAACCATTTGTGGTACAGGGACGCGATTTTACTAAATATACTGTACGCTAGCACAAACCACGCCCACCGTAATATCTCATCTTCGAAGTACTTAGGCCAAACTCAGAGACTATTTATCCTTAACGAACTAACATATCCCTGATTGCAATATTTTTGAGGAAGGAAAACCGAATGGAGTGTAGAAACATATTGATTAATAATATATTTCAAAAGTTGAGTTCTTCAACAAAATTGAATAAAATGAGACTGTTTATCCTAAACGCACTAACCTATTTGACTTCAAATATTTTATGAAAAAGGAAAACCAGAATGAAGTAAAAAAACATTTGTGAAAAAAAAAGTTTAAGTTCACAGCGATTCGAACCATGGACCTTCAGACTGAAAGTCGACAGCGCTAACCAGTAGACCATTTGGGTATATGAATTCATTGCGTACAAGAGATTGACAACGAGAGAGCTTCAGTCGAATTCGTGTCAAAATCATGAAAAGTGTATTCTTGCGTTAGAGCACAGTATATTTAGTGCGATGTGCTGACTCCGAGTATATCGGTAATGTTTGGAGATATGACGTATTATCGAGCGTATTATGGTGGGCGTGGTTTGTGCTAGCGTGCAGTATATATTTAGTAAAATCGCTACAGGGACATGGTCTTCTGCATTTTTTTGTCAGATAAAAGTGGCTCATTCCATTTTTCTTCCATTGAGTTGAGTGTTTCCTTTTAAGATGAAGCACAATAACTTTTTTTCTTTCTACTGCCATTATTATCCCAACATATTATTGACATAACCTCCATCATAACAACAAAGAAACCACAACACATTGGCACAGAACACAGAATCGAGAATCGTTAATTCGATTCGAATTTGTCTCATAACCCTGTTAATAGAAGAGAAGGTCACACTTTCCGTAATGTTTGAAATCACGAAAAAAAAAATCCGCTAGTTAGACAATATAGGTATGAAATTTTATTTCTCTCTTTGGGAGCCATTTTCGGCAGAAATTGGACGCATGGAACCCTAGAATAGACTGGATAGAAGAGGAATTCCCACAAATGAATTGCATCTAATTAAACACTGTCATCATTGCGATATTTCGAAATAAGTCAGACAGATTGTATGTGCATGTGCATGCGATGTAACGCATAATGCTTTGCGGTTCGCCATTTGCTATATTCTACCTGTTGCTGGTCTATTTGTTGGGAAATACGTTCACCAACATTTTGATGAATGTTGTTAGATGGGACAGGAAGCGTCTAGTTGATTCCGAGACACGGATATGCAATCAGGTTCAATCTATCATTATAATAATCTGTGACACGAAAGAACAGTTCAATCATTCGTGTTTTGATCATTTTCGATGAAGTTTTTTTTATCGCTTGGAGCGCACGAAATGGAATCCCTATAATGTTCAAAGAACATCGTGCGTTCCTAGGAAGGATAGGGATAGGAGGTAGGTATTGGAATTTTTTTTTCAACTTCTGGAGATTATATGTGGTTGCAGGGAATACTTCCTCATGCAATGAATTCCAGAGCCTTAGCCGTTTTATGGTAAAAAAAGGATTATCTAAAATTGTGACCAAAATAACGGATTATATTTCTGAAAATTGACATGCCCTTGTCTTTTTAGACACTCTATTTACTTCTTGCTTAATAAAAAGAAAGTAAAAAAAACGTAATGTAGTTGAATATTCCACACAATTATTCCAATATCGGTTGAAGATTTGAGAGTTCGCACTACAATTGTTTTGTAGATTATGTGGGACAATGGAGGTTGTTTTTTAATTGCCTCAGTGGGACATTAAAATCCAGAGCGTGTGTACGAAATGAAGTTAGGTGCCCTGTGTGGAGGTTTTCATTAGCAAGCAAATTAACGACAAGGCAGTAAAATCCAGTTCTATTGCCACGACCGTGAAAGTGTTAAACGAGTGCGAGCCACTAAAAAAAAACTAGTTCACTAGATTCGCTTCACCTCCGGCGTATACAAAGAACAATTAGGATTCGTCATATGTTATGATTTCGATCGATATTTGCAAGAAGATTTTTTTTTCTGTTCATTACAAACGTTGGAGTTTATTCAACAACAAGTCCACGCAATCTTTTGTCAGTCATAGGTATATAATATACCCTTCGATTAATCCTCACACAAAATGTTTCGAAAGGTTGAAGAATGTTCGAGAAATAATTTTGCAAAATAATTTCGAATGCAGTTCTTCGTTGAACAGGAATAGTGGCCCTCGAGGAAAATACCTAATGAACATCAGACAGTGTCTTCTTCTCCTCTTAACCAATATATAGGGTAAATTATGAGATTTGGCAAAAACATCCTTTGGGTATAAGTTTTCCTTATTCCTCTACCAAACCCCAATCGACTGACATTTTTGACAAAATGCATCCTGTATATGGTTTTTGTACTGACACAGGTTCAAAGATTCAACATTCTGATCACCCTTGTAACTGTTCCAATTAAATGTCAGTAGATAGTGAATCGAAAGTTGGAATAGGGACATGAAAGCCGTTTTGATCAATAATGAATATCTTCGATGCAAAGAAATCCTAAAGTTGAAAAATCTCGATTTTGAACAACCTTTAACTCTGTAATCATTCTCGCTAGACCACAAGTGTGATGCATTGATGAAGTCAGCTCACAAATGAGAATGCAAAATTGCAATGAGATACAGGGTGTCCCATAAAAAAAGTATAACTTTGATATGCCACGCATTTCTGAGTTACCCTGTATAAAGCGAAATAATTTGAAAAAGTGCTGCTCATGATCCTAGATCTTCTCTGAAATTTTTGTTCATCTATGTCAAACAATAAAGCCGTTATCTCACATTGCCACACTAATGACTCACCCTGTATAAAGTGAGGATAATATTACTATTGTTGTACTTCAGAAGACTTCAATGGCTTCTTTGTGACTGACAAGCTCACTGTGACGAGGAAATCAATGGATTCATTCACTCCTGATGTCTGGATATACCAGGCAAAATCTAATTTCTATTATGATTATTATCAAAGAGAAAATCCTTCATTCGAGAAAAACATTTTCCCATCTGGTTGGGGAACTCGAGGGAGATGGTCGTTGTCTGTTTATTATTTCTTGAGGGAGTCTTATTAGTTTTGAATATAGCTTTCCCTCAAATCCCATTACGGGACTCAAAGGATTGATTATCCCTGTTCACGCAAACCGAATGTAATAATAAATTCAGCCTGTGAAGCCAGACAAAACTGACAAAACTGCCAGTTGTGTACTGTGTCATGACACCGAATCAAGGCCACTCGAATTGATTATTTTGGAAGTGGATCGTCAGCGAGAATAGTTATTAATACAGGGTGTTATCGAGATAAATATATAAATATGATGGGGTGGAATGTTCTGGTTCCCACGAAAAGGGATATCCTGTAATGTTCAGAGAACATCGTGAGAACCAAGAGAAATAAGGTAGGAATTGGTGTTCTTCTTGAATTCTTGAAGGTTATATTCCTCGGGAACACCTCCCTTGGCAATGTGTTCCAAAGCCTCGCTGTTCGTTGGATGAACGAGTCTTTGGAAAGAGATGTTCTGCAGGTCTCCGAAGTGACCACGAAGGGGTGCGAAGCCTGAACTCGACGGGTTAATCTCGCGGGGACTGCCAAGGAAGGAACAATTGTTGATATTCCAGAAGAGCATCATTCATGAAAATATCCATGAAATAGAGCCAGATCGCCAACTTTTCTACGGTGTTTTAGAAAAGTGAGTGAGTTCGTGATCGAGGCATCACCCACGAGACGAATCGCCCTTTTTTGGACAGTACAAAAGATAGGCAACACTTGGTGGAAGACGAAACAGCAAATCAATGTAGTCAATATTCCTTCCATCATGATTATACTCCTAGACCTATTGACCTATTGTAATGCTGAACTTGCTAAAGTTGATTGTTTTCCTATGGTTGTCTCTGTTCATGGCATGATGTTAACGGAGAAAGTCATAGACAAAAATCAAGTTTAGCAGTTAGAGCAAGAACAAACGAACAGGTCTATAATGTCACGCAAGTAGCTATAGCTGCCTCCGTAGTGACGTTAGTTGTAGCACTAAAAATCCTACCAGAAGGTCTATGAATTTCAGTTAGATTTATCACCTGTGATTATAATTACTTCAGAAAAATGAAGAAATTATACCATTGAATTTCCTAACATTTCTGGGATTATTTCTCCTCGTCCCTATTGATAAAAATATTAGTATAATTCATTATCTCAATATACCTGTAGTGAGCACCATTCAGATGATCTGTCCCAGGATTTCACTGCTCTAAAATTACCCTATTAGAAACCTAACAGGAAAATCCAATAGTCGGTGACACCTTATTTGAAAAATGTTTGAAGACTGCAAATACAATGAGATCCAAGCTTCCTATAATCTAGATGGATTATTATTCTCTACCTTCTCGATTAGGTCGTAGAACAATTACCATAAGCTCCGACATCAAAGCTGCTATTATGGCATTGAATTCCAATAGGATCACAACTCAATTGTTCTTCAAGTGAAGTAGTGTCTTTGAAAATGTTGCGAAAACTAAGAAAGTCAGGTTAGCTGATGAGGAAGCAGACAGACTAAGATCGGTCCAGGAACGACTCCCATTGAACTAGAACCGATACTGGGAATACCCAATAGCATGGATATGTTCTTCATGAAGGAATTGCTACAGGGGCA